AGTCATGTTGGAAGCTGTCTAGACGAGTATGGTGATGTTTCAAGACCGTCGATGTTTCCAGGCTGCATATGAGCACTGCCACTACGGTAACTTTCAATAACGTGATGATCCACGTTGTCGTTGATATAGTTCGACTTTTGCATACGTCAGATATTGCCATTGCCAATCTACGGTAGTTTAACCATGAAGAACATATAGAGGAGTTAATCATGTGGACGGTAACGTCAATTGAACGAAAGATTTGCAAGATCTCATTGGTCTTATGCCATATCACCAGGAGAGTTGCCTGTATTTGATTAACAGGCGACCGATGTCATTCTTCATTTTTAGGAGCAGAAGGAGGCACACAGTCACTAAAGTTTCTGTTACAATCATTGTATCTCGATATGCCAATAAAGACAGAATTGCTACAGTTCTTAAGGTCATCAGAATATGAATTCGTATATCAGAATATGTTAATAAACGACTAAATTTTGCATTAATCAGATTCACCGCGTATCTCATTTCCCGTTATTGTTTTTCTTAACGAGCACTGAGCAGTTGAGCCGCGACCTAATTAAATAGTTGGTAAGCATATAAAACGATAACGGTGTGTTAAGCACAGTGAACATGCTTTTGGGTGGGTTATTCACTTGATGCATCATGTCATATGTATGTATGTGATCATCACCTTGAACCGTTGGTAGAAACAGAATGTCAGCTGATTAGCATCTTATGATAATTATTGGCACTCACGGTTTTGCCATTCAGTTCGTCATTATGTGGTCCGCCTTTCGAAGAAGCAGTTGCTGTTGGAACAGATTTTGAGGAAAAAATTATTATTTTCTAATTTTATAAAGTTCCGTAGTATTCAGTGGAATTCGAATCAGCTGGATATTAAGTCTTTGGCATCAGTGTCAAGGAAAGTGATCAATTAATGACAAAAGTAAGGTATGGAGGGATGTGTTTTTCTTAGCTTGAAGATTTGCCATGAATCTTGACGTGGCATCAGGATTGGCACATCTGTGTGTGCCTTAAACGTCAAAGTGACGGGTATTCCAACAACAAATCCTAAACGCCAGGCTTTGGTCATTTTCCTGAAGAAAGCACAGTGAAATTCCTTCATCGTATTCTCACTATCCAAATAGAAAACGACGAACAGATGAACAAGATGAGCAGAAATTCTTCCTTGATGGTTGCTATCAGAAAATTGATAGAAAATGATTTGTTGATGTCGCGTCATGAGAGAAGTCAAGACATCGAAAATAGCAAAATAACGCTGCCATAGTTTGAGCATTCATGCCTCATCCCTCCTAAAGGGAAGGGTGGTATTTATTAAGTAAAATTTATTGCTGCAGTATATAAGTAAGTACATGTTGCTGCAGTATATAAGTAATAAGTACCCGTTTTTCAACAGTTTCAGATACAAGGATAACACTAATGCACACACATAGAAGAAGGGAAAGTCATGCAACTCAACTG